GGTGTCATAGTTATTGAATTACATTTTTCTTTTAGTTTGAGTGTTTGGAGTATTTTTGTTGCATTTTGCAACTTCTTAAACTCAAGACCAGCTGTCCTGCATATGCTGCACAGGATAAGCACCATAAAGCCCTGCTTGGGATCCTGGCTTTGAAAATTCAAAACAATCTTAGAGGGTCAGTAAAGCTATGGAAAAATCATCTTGTTCACCTCTTCCCCTTCTTCTTCCTCCTCCTCCTCCTTTTTTTAGTTTTTTTTTTTTTGGTTTTTATTTATTTATTTTTTTTGGTACAGGGGATCGAACTCAAAACCTTGCGCTTACAAGGTGGTTGTGGTGCCGCTGAGCTAAATCCCTGACCCTTTATTTTTATTTTTGTCAGTATTGGAGATTGAACCCAGGACCTTCTCGCTGAGCTATATCTTTCTCTTTTTTTTTTTTTTTTTCAGTACCTTGAATCAAACTGAGGACCTTGACCCTGCCAGGCAGGCACAGATACATCTCAATTCTTTTTATTTTTTTATTCTGAGTAAGGGTCTAGCTAAGTTGTCAGGTTGCTCAGATTGGGCTCAGACTTGTGATCCTCCTGCCTCAGTGACCTGGAGTGCTGGGATTACAGATGTGCACCACTGTGCCTGGCTAGAAAAAGGGCCTTCTTAGGACCAGGAGGGAAGGCACAACAAAAATATGGATCCAAAAATTCATAGCTTTACTAGATATGTGTATTTGGTTGTAACTCTGCAGAAGAATCAATCATTCATCATGTAAGGGCATTGCTCCTTCTGAGTTGTATCTATTTAATTTATCCATATCCTATTAAATGAAGAAATATCATTTTGGGGTAATGATGCTTAACATATATTACTTAAATAGAAAATGAATTCTGCTGGTTTATATTGAAATTACAAACTGATAATTTCTGACCAGAAATTGGATTTGATGATTTCACAACAGGAGAAGTAAAATATTTGGCTTATATCTAGAAGTGCAAATATGCAGAGGTACTATAGGGATGACTCTTAATAATGTTAAACCCTTCTTTTGTGAGCACTGTATACAATAGACATTGAAAAAGTATAGTACTTTTAAATTGAGTATTAGGATGCTAGAAATGGAGAATTTCTCTTGTAACTTATTGTATTGTAATAAATATATGATTTATGCATTAAATAAAAATTAGGTGATAATGTCATTTCCAATATAAAACTTTTTAAAATTTGCAATTATAGAACTTTGGTTCTTTTGTTTTTATTTGTTTGCAGAACTGAGGTTTGAACCCAGTGTTTTGCAGGTGCTAAGCAACCACTCTACCACTGAGCTCCATCTCTAGTCCACTTTACTTAATTGTATCTTTAAGACAGCGTCTTGCTAAGTGACCCCAGCAGGTCTTGAACTTGTGATCATTCTGCCTCAGCTTCCTGAAAAACTGGGGTTATAGGTGTGTTTCATCACACCTGGCTGCCATTTTGCTTTTTTGTAATAGACAGTGCATCTTTCTATCTAATTTTCTGTATATCTACAGTACAAGAATTAATGTGGCGAGGGTTAGGGTTCAGTGTCTTAGACCTGATGAGGTCCACTGAATCAGAGGAATTGTGTGAATAAAGATTGCTATTCTGGCGATATTCTTGCTGTTTCCTTTTTTTAAAAATAAAATTTAAAAACATATGCACCTGTATACATCTTCATTACTACCAAGAACTTATTGGTAGTAATATATGAAACTACTGCTCAATTATCCTCTGTGATATTCAGTAATTTTTATGCAGTGAATTTTTGGAAATAGTGTTCTGTAACAGCAGCATTAGTAGATAGAGGAGTTGCTGGCCTTTGTGACTTAGAGCAAAAGGAAATAAAATAAGCACATAAGTACTTAAGCTTATTCAAACCATTGTGGTTTTGACACTTGATATTTGGTTTCTTGGAGCCAGAGACAGACAAGTGATTTTAATTGAGTTTTCTGTTGAGTAAGTATTCTGTACTTATTAAGGGGAAGAAAAACTCAGCTCAGTGGAGCTCCTACAGCTCTTCCTCTTATCTCTCCCCTGCCCTGCATGCCTTGGTTCAAGTTCTTTTCCTACCCAGGAGCCATACATGCATACATGTTGTCCTCCAGTCTTCTCATTTATGCCTCAGGCTAAACTGTGCAGGATTAGCAAATCTGTTTTGGAGTCTGGCTTAGACCTGTGATCATGGCACACAGGATCACCACCTGGGGGCAATGAGTGTGTTAAAATTGCAGATTTAAAATTGCTGTAAGACTCTCATGTTTGCAGTCTCTATTTGTATTACATGTGAGATGTCTTTCTAGTGCCTCTTGATCTGACAGTACCTTTCTAGGTTCATTCCCTGCCCGTCTTAGTGTGAGGTCCATTTGTGCCGTTATGGTGTGGTGGTGAAGAAGGGCAGCTTTGAAGTTAGATTGCCATGTTTATTGCCACATATCCTGGCTTAAGCATAATATTTGTATATACTTGGGCAAATTATTTTTTGTATCTGATTATGACAGGGCTCAAAACCTGTCTGAATGGGGCGTTCATCACTCAGAATGAATGACAGAAGTAAACAGATGGTCCTAGTGCATATTAGGTGAATATCAGTGTTGTTCTTGCATTTGTTCCTTAGTCTGTGAAATAGGCATCATAAGCATATTTTTATTGTGAAGATTAAATGCAATAATTCGTGCAGTCTTCCTAGAGTTGAGATTAGCATAAAATAAATATTTAGTAAATGATGGCTATTTTCCTTACCATTATGTACAACTCTAAGCAGCATGCTCTTCATGCTTCTGGATTTAACTCTTTACCTAAAAGGTTTTTCCTCCTGTTTCCCACAGATAGCCTTTTATTTCTCTTATAAGAGTGCTTAAATGTCACTTCCTCTAGGAATCCTCAATAACTGGCCAGGATACTGTTCTTCCATAGTTTCTATCTCTCTTCTCTGTGTCTGTCCTTTGTCTGTCTGTCTGTCTGTTTCCCCCGCCAACTCCAGCACTGGGGAGTTGAGTTAAACTCAAGGGTGCTGTATCACTGAGTGACATCCCCAGCCCTTTTAATTATTTTGAGACAGGGTCTGCCTAATTTCTTAGGCTGCCCTCAAACTTGTGATCCGCTTGCCGTAGCCTCCCAAGTAGCTGGGATTACCATGGTGTGTGATCATGCCCTACTTGTTTATAGTTCTACCCTAGCACATACTCCTCTGTGTCATTATTTTCTTTGTCATATTTTGGTGTTAGACTATGAGTCCCTTTGTATTATGACTTAGCTGTTGTATTTCTGTATTACAAGTACCTTGAATTTACTGATATTTGCTGCATGAAAAAATAAGTGTGTATCTATGATTTTGCTCCTTTAATAAGATTCTGTTTAAAACAGAGAAGTTGAAATATATTTGAATGGGACGTT